AATCCGTTTTTACAAGTTGGACATGTAATATCTCACAAGTACCAAAATTAATAATCAATTAATTACAAACAATTTACATGGCCAACTCGTAAAAACGGATTATTTAAGAATAAGACAGAAAAGTAAGTTTTAAGTAAATTTTTTAAAATCATCAAACCTATTAGGTTTAAGTATAGGGAAGTAAACATGAACTTTCCTTATTTTTTATCGCTGATTTCAATAAAATAGAAAAAAATGGGTGGTTCCATTTAAAAAAATGAAATAATTTGGTATTTTTGAAGTTTAATTTTGCACATGTTTTGTATACACCCTGTATAAAATAAAGTTTTTTAACACAGATTCAAATACCTTTAACCTTGCTTGTGGCCACCCTACCGAAACCATTTTCATATCTTTAAAGGGATCCCCGTAAAAAAATAATTTAAAAGGGTCTGCATCAGTCAAATTTTTCAAAAAAAAATTAGTAACTCAAAAAGTATGCATTTTTGAAAAAAGTTTTTTAGACAAAAGCACTCTAAAATTTTGCGTACATTTCGAAAATATATTAATATATGGGGTGTCCCATTTAAAATAACAAAGTTGATGTCCACTTCCGGTATAACCGGAAGTAAAGAAAAGTTGAAAATATTTTCATTGAATAGAGCGCATTGACTAATACTTGTACACAAATTTTCAAATTTTAATTACAACTACTTTTCCAGATACTTCTAATGGGCCCTCTTCGTGACACACACTGTAGACAATCTGTACAGTTCTAAATTACTCTGGAGCGTTCTAAATGATTCTAAAGAGTTCTAAATGATTCTGGAGCGTTCTAAATTAATCTAACCAATGATTTTAGATAGTTATAGATGGTTTTAGAGCGTTCTAAACGGTTCTGGACAGTTCTAAACGGTTTTGACTGTTTAAAGGTTTCTGCATTCCATATTATTCTAGACAGTTCTAATAAATGATTCTGGAGCGTTTTAAATTGATCTAACCAGGTTCTAAATGATTTTAGACAGTTATAGATAGTTTTGGAGCCTTATAAATAGTTCTAGGCATTTCTGAATAATTCTGGAGCGTTCTAAATGGTTCTAGACAGTTCTAAATAGTTCTAGACTTTTTAAATGTTTCTGGAGCAATTCAGATTGTTCTAGACAATCTAGGTAGTTCTTAATGATTCTAAAGAGTTCTAAATGATTCCGAAGCGTTAAAAATGATTCTAAAGAGTTCTAAATGGTTCCGGAGCGTTTTAAATTGATCTAACACGTTCTAAATGATTTTAGCTAGTTATAGATGGTTTTGGGGTCTTCAAATGGTTCTAGGCAGTTCTGAATGATTCTGAAGCGCTATAAATTGTTCAAGTCAGTTCGAAATAATAATGGATAAATATCTCTGGAAAGTTCGAGATTCTGGACTGTTTAAATGTTTTTGGAACATTCCACATTGTTCTAGACAATCTGGACAGTTCTAAATAATTCTAGAGCGTTCTAAATGGTTCTATATAGTTGGTTCTATATGATATAAAATGATTTAAGACAGTTCTAGATGAATCTGGAGCGTTCTAAATGATTCTAAAGAGTGCTAAATGATTCTGGAGCGTTCTAAATTGATCTAACCAGTTCTAAATTATTTTAAGTAATTATAAATGGTTTTGGAGCATTCTTAACGGTTCTGAACAGTTTTAAATGATTCTAGATTGTTTAAATGTTTCTGCATTCCAGATTGTTCTAGACGGTTCTAAATCATTCTCGAGCGTTCTAGATAGTTCTAAATTATTCAAGCGCAGTTCAAAATTATTTAAGGCAGTTCTATATGACTTTGGAACGTTCTAACTGATTCTAAACATATCTAAATTATTCTGGACGGTTCTAGATTGATCTTAATAGTTCTAAATGTTTCTGGAGCCTTCTAGCTTATACTAAACAGTTCTAAATGATTCTGGAGCATTCTAGATGAATTGGGCAACAAAACCACAGCGCAGTACCAAATTTTAAGCGTACTTACGGTACTTTTATTGCTATCCGGTGACGGTCGATCGGGCATCTGTTCCAACCAATAAGCGAATTGTTTGCGGGTGTTCGGAGACGGATTCGGTGTTAAAAATGTACCGTACGGCGTTTCCGGGGTTTTCATTAGAGACCACACAGGTGGTACGGTATATTCTTTTCGTGCTTTATCGCTTACAGGTGTAGTCGGTACGTTTTCTGCTGGAATAAAATCATTTGTGTTTATAACTCGAAAATTTGTAAATAAATCTAATGCCCGGTTGCCCCAATACAGTGTGTGTCACGACGAGTGACACACGATCAGTGTCCATTGAAATGTAATTGTAAAATGTAATTGTAATTGTAACGAAAGGAGTAATTGAATTACAAATGAATTACAATTGAGGATCTTGTAATTAATTACCGCCTCAATTACAATAAAACTAATTCAATTACTTTTAATTAATTACTTAACAACACTGATCCTAGGTTATACAGGGTGATTCAGAGTAGATTTCAGTTTTCAAACGTGCCTTGTGCAATGGTGTGCACAGACCACGTTCGAAAACCGAATTTTACTCTGAGTCAATTTGTATTTTATCTAAGTCTGACTTAAATGTGTGATCTACTTAAGATTGGAACATGTTGCACCAAGTTCAAAAAAGGTTATATTACCGACGATTCATTTTAACTTAGATAACAACTGGCAACGTAGCAATATTGTTGAGGAACTTTGTAAAAGAAGGAGATAATTGTCATGTTAATGAGATAAGTGTCATTTTAAGCGTCAAAATAACCTATTAGTTGCTGAGGCCAGTGATGGGCCAATAACAAAAGATCAAAAGAAGAAGTTGTGGTTTTAACATATCCTGTAACCTGTAACCTAGAAATTAGTACATTCATAATTTAATTTTGGCCAAATTTAAATAATTGTAGGGACGTTCATTTTTGGAAACCTTTTAAAAAATTCTTCCTCCGAGAATGTTTCAAAATAATTAGTTCTTATTCGAATTTGTCGTTGCATAGGAACATCTACTACATTAATTTTTTCCTCTACATCATCTATTATACACCGTTGGAAATTTAATTTCGCATAATAGGGAAATCAATGTTAAATTCTTAGCCGTCTGAAATCCAGTCTACCAGTATACATTTCAATAGAACGTCGCCATGAATTCTAATAAATTTAATTGTTCTACTGGACCGCACGCCGCGATTTATAGAGGTACAAAGTTATTTGTGTTAAGTATGAGGTACAAAATTATTTAGAAACTGAATTTAATATTTTTTGGGGATATTTCAAAAAAATATGTGTAGCGGTAGGTACAGTTTTGAAAGAGCAACAAATCTTGTTGAAATAAGGGAAAAAATAATTCAATTTTCTGCTAGAATTATACCTCAGCTCAGTAATATGAGATGACATCTGTATGACAGGTTTGGCTATTGTTTAGCAGAAAGCGGTGGACTATTTTTTAGAGTTCTTTTATTTTCTGTTTTAAAATTATCTTTAAGTTAATTTTTGGAGTTTCCTTTTTATTATCTTCTTAGAATTTACTTTCTTTTTCAAGTCATTGTGGCAAAAAGACATATCTACATAATTCTATTTTAATATTAGTGATTTTTATTCAATAAATTATCGTTTAAAAATGCTCATTTCTTTTTATTCGACTCGACGTTCACCCGTCCGAACCCTTTTTGATACTGTCGAAGTGTCGAAACCGTCGAAATTATTTGATTTTTAATCTAACCGAACCAAATCGCGGTGTGAAGTCCAGTAGAACAATTAAATTTATTAGAATTAATCGCGACGTTCTATTGAAATGTACACTGGTAGACTGGATTTTAGCCGGCCAAGAATTTAACATTGATTTCCCCATTATGCGCGATTAATTTTCCCACGGTGTATACTGCTCCACAAATGTTAAGGAAGTTCACAAATATCGAGATTAATTTAAAAGTTGCAGGTTATTTGATCGCCAAATTTAGTAATGAGTTGTAGAGATAGATACAAAAAATCCACTCAGATATGAGTGAAAACATTTAATTTCGCATATTTGAAAATTTGGTGATCAAAAAGTCTGTAATTTTTAAAATAATCGCAAAATTTGCGAACTTCCTTAACTTTTGTGGAGCAGTTTATTTACATTATCCCCAATATATGTATATCTGCATTTATATCCATAATTTTACAACTGTCCCGACAATTCTCCATTTTTTATGTTAAAATTTTCATCTTAAGTCGTAGAAATCGACGACCTACGATTTGTGGTCGATTTGAATCACTAAAAATATTTTTTAGTTGGTGCAACTGTATAAAATTGATTTTAGACTTAGGTCTGACTTAGGAATTCATCCTAGGATGCTTTGGTGCAACTGGGCATTATGTATTGTTCTCACCACCTTTAGAACTCAACAGTTTCTTGGGATAGGGGGGAGCGGGGCTGTGCGTCGTCGATTCTTGGGAACCCCCGGGAGCATTCGATGTCGATACCCCGCCGGTTTGGGACGACCAATTTCCGGATTGTTCCTTATTTTTAGAGACTTTATCCAAGATATACTCGTCCTCTTCGACTTTTTTACCGGTCCGAACGCACTCGATGAGCCAGTCTTTGTTAATAACGGGTAGACCCCACTTTTGGGCGGCGTTGTATTTCTTTCCCTGCGCCTCGGAACTCACTAAATGAGTATTGGCGCGTAGATTTTGCGAATCCTTGTCGATTCTAGAGAACAAATCTTGAACCGTCGCGCCTAAACCTTCTATTAGATTTTGGAGGAAAATTCGTTCCTGCGCCACGTAAGTGCTGGTTGTTATTACGCAATTTTTTAAAGGTTTCGTGTCTAAAATAGTAAACAATTAATAGAATAAGATGAATAATCGGAAATGTCATTAACGAACCAGGCAAGACGAACGGTTTGTGGTAATAAGAAGGACTTAAGATTAATTCTTCCAAACGAACGCATTCTTCGATGAATAAATGATTGACAATTTCGGTGGCGGAGCAACGCAATTTTTTTTTATTGAAAATCGGCACGACCGCGTAATCGACGTTTCCTTTGTAGCTTCTATCGACCACTTTACCACCGGCTCCTGCAAGCAAATCAATTCATAATTTCGTACGAATTAAGTACTAACCAGTGTTGTTAAGTAATTAATTACAAGTAATTGAAAAAGGAATTGAATTACTTTTATTGTAATTGAGGCGGTAATTAATTACAAGCTCCTCAATTGTAATTCATTTGTAATTCAATTACTTCATATCGTTACAATTACATTTCAATTACATTGGACACAAAAGTACTTATTTAACATTTTCAATACGTGGAAAGTTTAATTCCGATTGGAAATCCCTAAATAATTATTTAAAACTAACACAAAGGAAAGTAATTGTGAATGTAATTGTAATTAATTACAATTTGGCAAAAGTAATTGTAATTGTAAATAATTACATATTATAAAGTAATTTTAACATCACTGGTACTAACATATGGTGCTTTTCAAGGAAACCGTCCCTTAGAAGTTATAGGAGATCCTAAAGAGTTAGAAATCTGAAAATTATGGATTAAAGGATAATCAATGTTGTGAGTTTTTCTAAAATATTTTCAACCATATGTGACTTTCGGTTATAACGGAAGTAGATGTCAACTTCGTTATTTCAAATGGAAAGTACCATTTTTAACTAATTTTTGGATTCTGTAGCTCTTTTTAACTACACCTTTTCCAGTTGTATTTCAGAATAGTCGATTTGATTTCAAAAATCATTAATTGAATTTCAGAATAGTCAATTTGATTTCAAAAATCATCAATTGAATTTCAGAATAGTCGATTTGATTTCAAAAATCATCAATTGAATTTCAGAATAGTCAATTTGATTTTAAAAATCAACAATTGAATTTCAGAATAGTCGATTTGATTTCAAAAATCATCAATTGAATTTCAGAATAGTCAATTTGATTTCAAAAATTAACAATTGAATTTCAGATAAGTCGATTTGATTTCAAAAATCATCAATTGAATTTCAGAATAGTCGATTTGATTTCAAAAATCATCAATTGAATTTCAGAATAGTCAATTTGATTTCAGAAATTATCATTTGTGTTTCGAAAAGTGTCATTCGTATTTAGGAAACCGTCAAAAGGATTTCAGAGTCCCATTTGGAATGCAGAAATCATACAGTGAGGACCAAAAGTCCGTCGCCCCCCCTTTAACTAACTTTTGAATGGTAAGAGCTTTTGTCGCGCAATTTGGGGTGTTTATATTGGAGTAAAAATACTATTTATTAACGTAAAAATGACTGTTGAAACTTTCAAAATGACAGTTAGGCGCCATTTTGAATCTTTTTTTCTTATGGAATCTATTGACACCTCGTTTTAAAGGGGATGGTATGAGGACATTTTTCATTAAATACTCCACAGGTTTTGCTGAAAATTTTAACCTGTATTCGTAAATGCATTAAAAATAATTTTAAATAATCTTGATATGTGTATTTTACCTAATATTCTCTACATTTTGCATGATTTAAGTAAAATTTGAAGAAGGAAGCCAGACTAAAAATTCATCTTAGACTTTTTTAAAATTTCATCTCTTCAGCTCCAACTGGTTCAATCATTGAACTATTTTTTTAATTATAAAGTTGTGACATATTCAAGGCTTTTTAAAGGCATCGAATAGCAATATCGATAACTGGAGAATTGAAGCAGAAATCAAGAATTCTTAGCATAATGAAAAAATGATTGATTATTTCAAAAACCTGTATTTGAGTATAGTAAATACCTATATGAACCGAAAGGGCTTAAAAATATCTATTGTTCAATACCTGAAAATGCAGGGTGATCCATTTAAAATAACAAAATTACGGCCACTTTAATTGATCAGGTTGATCATAAAATCAGAGTTAAATAACAACAAAAACGGGTTCTACAATTCAATTAGAGAATTGTAATTTAACATTTTAAGTTATGACGTAGTTATAGTGCATTAAAGGCATCAAATAACCATCTAGATAATTCGAGAAGAGTATTATAATAGCACAATTAATAAAATTTCGATTATTTCAAAAACGACTATATTTGGGTATAGGGAATACCCATATGGATCGAAAGGGCTTACAAATCTCCATAGTCCAATGCCTAAAATTACAGGGTGATCTATTGAAAATGACAAAGTTATAGCCATTTTAAGTTAGCCAAGTTCGTCATACAATTTTAAACGACCTGTAAATGAACCTTGAAAATCCTGTGTTTACTTTCATTTAGTGCTGTGTCTGGACATTATCGATACCAAATTTCAAACTTATAGGTACATTATTAACGGAGATATCAAAGAAAATACATTTGACAGTTTTTCCAAAAAAATTAAAAAAAAAACTAAAAAACGGTACATTTTTGGCATATGGTGCTATTATCAAAGTCTAGTTAAAAAAGGTCACAGACTCTAAAAATAATGTTAAAAATGGTACTTTCCATTTGAAATAACGAAGTTGACATCAATATCCGGTATAACCGGAAATCACATTTGGTTGAAAATATTTTAGAAAAACAACATTGATTTTCCTTTTATCCTAAATTTTCAGATTCGTAACTCATCAGGAACTCTGAATAGTTCTAATCCACCGCTACTGTGTACTAACCTCTAATTAAATCCTTCAATTGCTCGTAATCGTCTTTACTAAAATCGAAAATGAAAAATTGCAAATGGTCGAAAAACTTGTTAATTTCCGATTCTGCATCTTGCGTCAAAGGCACGAATGATTCGTCTCGTGAGGATATTTCTCGAAATTGTTCAGAGTCCATCGGTTCGATTTGTTGGACTGCTTTACATAGACCAGAGTTAGAAATGCCGCCCAACAAGTTGCCTAGCGTATCAGAAACTACAAAATAATATATTTAATAAGATCATAATATAATAAAACGGTGTAATTTAATTACCATCGGTATCAGTATTTCTTCCGTGCATAGTATTTTCATCATTTGTATCGTTTTCAAGTTCATTTCTCGTTGCCGTTCTGTTTGCATGAAGTAAACTCAAACCCTAGACAATATAATTGTATTATACAGGGTAATTCAGATTTTATCTGGATAAAACTTTGGGAGTTGATTGAATATGCAAAAATAATGTTAGTTCGTAATGTAAATTTCTTTCAAAATCCTCTTAGTTTCGGAAATACAGGGCATTGAAGTTGGATATTTTTTTCCTTTTTTATTCCTAACTTTTAATTCAGTTCTTCGATTTATTTCAAATTTAATACCGAAACACTTCTTATCCTTCTGCATAATCCTTCAAAGTATGAAACCATCCACTCTTTATTAAGAGGGTTTTTAGGTGCTAACCTCTCTTAATTTTTTTCATAACTTTTACAAATAATAATTTGTAATGGTAATAACTATATAGGTGTAAACTTTGTTTTGATTTTAAAACTATTTTTATTCTTGTAATTTTCTGTAATTTTGCTTCGTTTTTGAGATATTTTTTAAAATTTGAGCCAGTGCACTACCTATACACTAATTCCAAAATAGTAGGCACTAAATTCTCAGAAATGATTGAGATAATGGGTCTCTCCCAGTGGCGTACGGAAAATATCGTAGGCTACAAGTGTGTTTGACGGGAAAATCCGCAAGAGACTAATAATTAGAAGAGCAAGGATTATGTAATAAATAAGAAAAGCGACAATATTTCCGAGAATTTAGTGCCTACTATTTTGGAAATAGAGTATAGTAGAAAGTATTAAATGTCATCACAGTATGCCATGAAAAATCAAATACGAAATTGAACAATTTTCAATTATTTGTAAAAAAAAACTTCTTTATATCATTTTGATTATTCAAGGCATACTATATGAGATGATAATTAATGCTTCCGGCCAATTTTATAAAATATCTCAAGAACGAAACAAAATTACAAAAAATTACAAGAATGAAAATAGTTTTAAAATGAATCAAGGTATAGATCTAAATAGCTAAAACTTTGAAAAATTATTATGTGTAACAATTTTGAAAAAATTTACAAGAGGGTAGCACCTAAAAATCCACTAATAAAGAGTGGGTCGTTTCATACTTTGAATGGTTATGCAGAGCGATAAGAAGTGTTCCTGTGTTAAATTTCAAAATATCGGAATACTGAATCAAAAGCTATGAATAAAAAAGAAAAAAAAATGCAACTTCAGTGCTCCGAAATATTTCCGAAAACTAAGAGGTATTATAAAAACAATTATTTTACAAACTAACATTATTTTAGGAACTTCTACATCGATATTACATTTTCTACTATTATTTTGCAAAAAAAGCTCGACAACATCATTGGTAATTAGATCAAAATGAAATTATAACATCAAAAACTGGACATTTTTTAATAAAACTGAAAATATCACAGAAACGGTGACAGTTAGTATAGGGAAATGTTATGAAAAAAGATTCAGTAAGAAATAGACTTCCCATTGGATATTATTAATATAGGGTGTTCCATTTAAATTAGGCGAGTAATTATTATGTTTGCGTTTTGACTCACCCTGTATACAAACTGTAATTTTGTCAGAATGTAACTATTTTTTGTGAAAATAGACCATTTTCAAAAAGTGCTGACACAGGAAAATTCACATTATCTGATACAGATTCTGATATACAGGGCCTTGAAATCATGTCGATTTGAACATAAAAATGGCCATAACTTTTTAAATACTCAGTATAGTCATATGAAATCTTGTATTGAGAAACTCGTGAATACGAGCTGAAATCGAATATGAAATAAAAAATATATCATTGCATTTAAAAAAAAGGTATGTTTGGTATGGCTTCGATTTATGGGCCACCCTGTATATTTCGAAATAATTTTAAATTGTATGCCTAAAGGTGCTTAACGTTTTTCCTATTTATCATTTTTTCGTATCTATTATAATAACTGAGTAAATGGGCTTTACCGCACTATTGGGACACCCTGTATTAACTCCCGAACTTTTCCAGATAAAATCTCAATCACCCTGTATTATTGCAAAACGCGCGTTTGTAAGTTACCTTTTTGCTCAAAGGAGAACCCAAATTTGGATTTTCGTTCTCTGGAAAAACGAGATAGTTTTCTTCATTCACCGGCTGCTGTCGTTCGATACTTTCAATTAACCAATGTAACGATACGATAATGGCAGATGTATTTTTGTTCTTGATACAGGCGAGTTCTTGATTATTGGAATCGCCTACGATTACGTGAGTTACCCTCTCTGAAAATGAATCATATCTCGTGGCCCCGCTTAAATTTATTATTTTGTGCAGTTTCTCCAAAGACTCGCTGCTAAAACCTATGAGGAGGACCTACGAAAGATTTATTCGGTTATTTCAAATAAGTGTTAAGTATACAGGGTGATAATTAATTGAGTGCAGATACTTCAAGATGTAAATATTTGGATGATTTTAAAGAAGAAAAGTTTATATCAATATGTGTCCTAAACTTCTTAGATTTCGAGATATAGGGTGTTAACATTTCAAAAAATTACTTTTCTATCATATTTTCCTTATTACTCCAGATATTTTTATGAAATTTAGGACGTGGACGGCACTGATAATATTAGAAAATTAATTTTTGTCCCCAAAAAAAGTGTTTCCATGCATGTTGGGCGCCTAATAAATTTGAAGAAAATATCAAAAGCAGTCTCAAAATGAACTTGGGAAAAAATTGTTTTGGATTTTATTTTTTTACGCGAAAATGGTACGTCGTACGAAAGTAAGTCTGCGGGCTGAATTTGCTCCAAAATAAATTTAAAAATTAAAATTTTAAATAAAAACCAAAATAAACATCATTTTTTTTCAAACATATTCAGTTCAATACGGACGTCACAGGTAAAAATTTAAAAAAATCTTTGGACTCGTGAGAGAATGATCCTTAATAATTAAAAAGTGTGTACAAAATTTGATAAAAATATCTGGAGTTATAAGAAAAGTATTTTTTTAAACTGTAACATCCTGCAGCTCAAAAACTAAGATGTTTAGGATATGTATATGTATATTGATATAAACTTTTCTTCTTAAAATCATAAAATATTCACATCCTGAAGTATCGGCACTCAATTAATTCACGTCCTGTATACAGAGTGTTTCTAAACATCGAGCATATCCGAAAGGGGGCGATTCTTTGGCTTATTTGATGACTAAAAGTTCATATAAACGTGGGTCCGCACACGCTTCGTTGCCAATCTACAGGGTATTGAAATTTAAATATTTTTTTTGTGTTCTTTATGCCCGATTTCACCAACATGTTTTTAGGCATTTCCTAACTAGGTAATTCCTAAGGTAGGAATTACTTAAATTGAATACTTATACCTAAATCGAATTTCACCAACATTAGAAATCCTTTACTAAGAAATACCTTAGGTAAAAATTTGATTTCGACAATTTTTTGAATTTTATTGGTAGCATTGGCTAATTTTGACGTATAAACCGAATAAGTGGAGATCGAAATTGAATATGTTGAGAGAAAAGAAGAGATGTTGATGATTCAGGCCATCTTTAAACTATGTTAGTTATTTTTAAATCTGCTGAAGACGTAGTCTGTACATTAATAGAAAATAACCTTTCCGATTTGTAAAATATTTCTACATCTTCTTCTCCAGGACTATGGATCTTTACATGTATGTGTACGGTCAATGGTTCCAAAAACTTCCTGTGTTTCAAATTAAAAATCATCTTCAAATCTTTGTAATATTTGTTATGCCGTATTTTAAAATATCGAAAAAAGCAAAAAAAAAACATCAGTTTCGTCCAGTTTCTAAAAACTCCTCCCATTTTAAATTTTTATCTAAAGAGTCTAAAAACAGCCAAGTCTTAAGTCACATGAAATCACATGAAAAGTATGGTTAAGTATTTCCTAAATATTTTGGGCAAGCCAAGTGAGCTGTCCTAACTTTAGGCATTTCCTATTACCTTTAGGTATTACTTAGCGCATGGCGAAACGCGAATTGTACTTAGGAATTCCTAAATCCGGCTTAGGTATTATCTAACTTTAGGAACTGGTTGGTGAAATCGGGCATTAGAGCTCCTGCAGTTTTTGGGATACTTAGCTCAAATTTGGTATAGAATATAAGGGTATAAATAGAGTACGAAGTAGCCACTTTCAATATTTGTTTTAATGTAATTTATTAATTATTATTTAGGGCTTTTGCATTGTAAAATAAATCATTTGTACAGAAAATCGTTTTTAATTGTTTTCTCGATAACGGTCACAGAAACGAAAAAAAATTGAAAACAAAAAAGTTTTTAAACAAAACAGACAAAGCAATTTGCATTTTAGAATCTAGTGTACTAGCGGCGCACGGCAAAAAAATAAAAAAAAATCGGATGGAGAAAAGGGAACATGACAACTGAAAAAATATCACCCTGTAGATTTCAACAACCACCTGACATACCCAACAATGTACATAAAGATTGCTCCATTTTTCATTGCAACATAGCCTATGGGTGCAACAAGGACAACTTCAATTAGACACTTACAAAGGAAAAAGAAAGAGTGATATTGTCATTGCAACTTTCCACTCTGACAACTGTTATTTTAATAATTTTTCTTTGTTCAACTCATAGAAATGCCCATGTTGCAATCGAGAATGAAGCACTAAATATCTCAAAAACTGCAGGAGTTACAAAGAGAAAAAAATCTTAAAATTTCAACACACTGTAGATCGGTAACGAAGCGTGTGCGGACCTATGTTAATGTACAAACTTTTAGTCATGAAATGAGCCACCTTTCGGATGTACACGATGTTTAGGAACACCCTGTATTTAAACTTACCGATAATCCATCCAAATACTGTCCAGCCTTTTTCGCTTTGTAGATATTCAAATTTTCAATCAAATCTTCCCAAACTTCCGTAACTTAAATGATTTCATAACGTTGAAAACTACGAAAATTCTATTGGTTTAATATTACCTTTTCTTTTGTTATTTGCAGGGGAATTAATCGCTCCACCAGGTATATTAGTATCATCGATAGACATCCTTTGAGCGGCCGTCGCATTTCCAATCGCACTTAAAACGGAAAAATCCGGATTGATGGGGCAATCGATTTTAGTCGGAGTCGACGTCATTTTTTGTATTTGATACGGTTCGTGGGGTAAAGCGTAACCGTTTTTAACGCTATCAATTATCCACGATACATTGACGCATCTGATATTCGCGGATTGACGAGCCGCTTTGTACTTGGCACTGTTCGCCCTGTAAAATAGTTTATTATACAGGGTGGTTTTTAATAACATACTAAAACAAAAGGGGGCGATTCTTGGGCCCATTTTAGGAAAAAACTTCATATGAACATGCATCCTAAACGTCTTAAATTTTGAGGTATAGGGTGTTACTGTTTTAAGATAAAAATCTTTTTTTTTTCATTTCCATACCACTTTAAACATTTTTATGTTTATGCGTTAATGCATTAAAGAGCATTTTTGACCTAAAAAATATTTTTTTTATTTCCAACGGTGGCGTCCATGCTGGACTATCGAAAACTGGACATTTTTATAATAAATCTGAAAATTTCTCAGAAACGGTGATAGTTAGGTATAGGGAAATGATATAAAAAATGATTCAGTAAGAAATAGGCTTCCTATTCGATATTATTAATATAGGGTGTTTCATATAAATTAAGCGAGTAATTATTAAGTTTGTGTTATGACTCACACTGTATACAAATTGTAATTTTGTCGAAATGTAACTGTTTTTGTGAAAATACACCATTTTAGAAAAGTGCTAACACAATAATATTCACATTATCTAATATAGATTCTGATATACAGGGCCTTAAAGTCATGTCCATTTGAACATAAAAATGGCCATAACTTTTTAAATACTCAGTATAGTCATATGAAATCTTATATTGAGAAACTCGTGAATACGAGCTGAAATCGAATATGAAATAAAAAATATATCATTGCCTTTAAAAAAAGGTATGTTTCAAATGGCTTCGATTTATAGGCCACCCTGTATATTTCGAAATAATTTTAAATTATGCGCCTAAAGGTAACATTTTTCCTATTTACCATTTTTTCGTATCGATTATAATAACTGAATAAATGAGCTTTACCGCACTATTAGGACACCCTGTAGATATTGTACATGAGTATTTATACCATAATATGTTATCCTAGAATTCAATAATGTAATATCGCAAAAGGTTTTCCAAACTTTCAAATTAAAAATACAACCCTTTAGGTATATCGAAAATCAAGCTTCAAAAACACCCATTAAATAACATACATACTAAATAAGTACATTGCATTAATTAACACCCTGTATATTGCAGTATAAAGTGCCAATAAATTGCCATATAAAAAATAACTGCAATAGAGGGTGTTCCATAATGACATGCTAATATTTAATGGGGTGAATCTGTGAAATGGGCTTTACCGCACTATTGGGACACCCTGAATGTCCTAAATCTCTTAGTTTTCGAGCTACAGGGTGTTACTGTTTAAAAAAAGAAAAACTTTTCTATCATAATTTTCCTATTACTCCAGATATTTTTATGAAATTTCAATTTATACAGAGTGGCCCAGAACTCACGCCCCACCGGGACATGCCTTATGGAAACGACAATGGAGATGCCAAAACTGCACCCGAAAACACGAAAAAGTTATTCCTTTGGTAAATAAAGAGGTTTAAAATTGACCAATCCCAGTAGCAGTTCACATACGCGAAAATGACGTTAATTAGCTATACACCAATTTGACATTATTGAGAGATTCTACATTCTATGTCCTTTTCACTTTCAAGGTTAACAAAACTACCAAAATCAGCTTTTGTAAGGCATTTCCCGGTGGGGCGTGAGTTCTGGGCCACCCTGTAGACGAGTAAATTTGGGGTAAAGTAGAAAATTAATTTTTGTCCCCCAAAAAAAGTGTTTTCATGCAAAGTGGGCACATATATAACAAATTTCAACAAAATATCAGTAGCAGTCTCAAAATGAATTTGGGAAAAATTGTTTTGGTTTTTTTTTTGGTCGTACGAAAAAGTAAGTCTTCTAGAATTTGCTCCAAAATAAATGAGGATTTTAAAAATTTGGTTTTTAGAAAAATCAGTGGCGTACCATTTTTTCTTTCAAACATATTCAGTTCAAACCCCGTACGGATGTCACTGGTGAAAATTTTTAAAAATCTTATGCCTCAAAAAATGCTCAATAATAATCATAATTAAAAAGTGTGTATAAAATTTTATAAAAATATCTGGTGTAACAACAAAACTGAGTAAATGAGCTTTACCGCACTATTGGGACACCCTGTATGTTCATAAGAAGTTTTTTTTTCTTAAAAAGGATCAAAATGGATCAATTTAATGCTCACATATCTCCGCTGCACACCAAAAAATCAGTCTCGGCTACTCTTAATTTTCCCGTGAATTTCCCGCCTCCTTCGTTAACCAGATTCTCTATTTTTCTTTTATCATTCAAATCGGTTATACCGCTGGAACAAATAACGAGATTGTGAAACGGCGGGCAACGGTGTTTCTCGAATTCTTTATTATCCGCGTGAACGTTTCCAGTCTGGCTAAGTTTCCAGACTTCCTCTACCCAAGTGGTTTGCATCAATTTCTTGCCCGTTTCAGCAGCGGTCTGGAATACAATAAGTACAATACGAATAGTAAAATACTGTACATGTAAAGAGGGTTCATTGAATGAAATACTTACCAAGTATTTTTGTGACTTGGCACTTCCAGCGATCAAATGGGTAGTTTTTTCCACGAGACTCTCCGAATAGTAACCTCCCATTAATTGAATCTTATTTTTCATTTCTAATTTGAGTTCTTTAGGTAAAAACGAGCAGGTCACGATGCAATCGTACATGGCGACATTGTAAATGGGCCAATCGAAATTTGGTATCGGTTTCCCCTCGAGAAGGCAATAACTTAACGCTTTTGGTCCTACAATCCTACTGAAAATATAATTAGATGGTTCGAATGAACTGTACGGGGTACACTTACGCGCATTTTGTGGAATTTACGTAATTGAAATATTCCCCTTTGAATTCATCGAATACAACGAAATCGGTTTTTTTCAGTTCCAGAGATTGCAATGCCGATTCACGGAGCCATTCTACTTCCGAAGGCACATTTTGTTTACAATACTGTGAAACAGATAGTGTATATAATACAGATAATTATATTTATGTGAATTTTTGAATAAACATAAAAATTGCAAGTAAAAACAATAACCTAAACCAGTTTTCAGAAAAATGTCTTGTAATAAGTTTACCTCAAATGAAGATTGCATTATATCCGAGCATTGGGTTTCATCTTCATGTGACTCTGGTAATACAAATATAATTCGAATGTCTTCCATTGTACCTATTTTAATTAATATTTAAATCGAAAATCAAAAGTAAAAACCGTTGACACAAAAACTCTTGTGCGGAATGTGTAATGTGAAGTGAGCTTTCAATGAAAAAATAAATTTGATTTTGACAATTTTGACAGTTATTTGACATAACAAGTCTTTTATTATGTTCTACATCAGCACACAAGTATCATCTCGCCATCTGGAGGTGACGTTTATAATTGGCATTACTGCGATGTCAAATGTCAATGTATGTCAAAGTCAAAAGTTGTAGTGGTGGGCAAAGGGCTTCTGTGGTAATGGTTCGATAAAATATTGAGAAAAAATGTTAATTTTCAAGTGTTTTTCATAAACTTTTAAATGGACAATAACGTGGAAGAAGGCACGAAAATGAAGGCAAAGTCGTCGAAAAGAATGGTTGGAATGATTATTAGGTCTAGAAAATCAATCGCCAAAGATGCTGTTGTTACAGTAAGTGGTGTTTTGCATTGCATATTTTCATTCGCCAATTTTAACATGTTTTTATAATCCTTTTTAAACAATGTTTTGTACGTTTAAGATTTCAACAAGTATACTTTTACAAAACAACGGTTCTCAGAATTTTCGCGAACTTGTTCGTCAGTGATAATGGTTATATTATGTAGTTATAAATGGTAATTATTTTGCCTTATAATTTGTAAGTTCCCTTTTTATACTTGTTAGTCAAATGAAGTATTAAATTAAAATATATCAGTTACCTATATTACCTCTGCCTAGAATTTAATTCTCAGGAATTTTAAAATCGTTGGTTGGTATCATTTGGAATTATCAGTGAGATAGAGTAGTGATTTTAGATAAAAATGGAATCATATTTTTAATAAAAATAATGAAGCGCAATAATTCAATAGTTATAAGTTTACTTAATTATCATAATACATTTTACATTATTGTTCTCCATATAAAGAGTGCCAAATTGATTGATCGATTAGGTTATGAAGATTGGTTTTAAAATGCATATGAACTATAAAAGTGTGCTTTGTCAATCTGCAGATTTGATGAATTTTCTTATCTTAAATACTACTTTATGTGCATTAGTCATATTAGTATTGATGTTACCGATAAAGTCAGATAAACGATTAAACCTATGTTTATCCGGATTAAGTGTGAAATGCAGGTAGGGTAGGTTTCACGTGACATAACAAGAACCCATGAAACCCAGGAAATCCAAGAAACCTACCCTACCTTACCCTACCCACGTTTCATGGGTACTTTGCACTTTAACCGGGTTATCTAACTTTATCCGTAACATTGACATAAAGTTTAGGAGCTGAAAATTATAAATTTTTTGTCTTGCATTTGTTATGTTCTAAGGAAATGTTGAGCTGAACTTTTAATAGTGCAATAATTATTTTGATAAGTAAATGCAATGGATCAATTTCTTCTGAATTTTTGTTTAAATGTTTATTTACTTAAATAGTTCAATTATTAATGATTAATTAAAACATTGTTGTTATATTAGCACAATACATAAATTACAAAGGTACTTATTGTACGTCATGAAATTGAACAATGAATAAAAATAACATTATTAAGCATATCGACTGAAAAATAGTCACAAATTAATGTTTTTCCCATCTCATTTACAATAATTTAAAAGTAATAAGTTTTAAAAGGGTAAAAATGTATTAAATGTAACATTTTAACCTACATTTCCCTGATAGGCATACGTGGATTTACTCGCAATTTTAAACAGTCTAACTGATAATGAATTTGTCATTATACAATTGTTATCAGTTTGTGACAAACGTATTTCGACATAATTTGGCCCATCTGTATATCATTTTATAGTTTACATAGCAGTTGTTTATAGTTTGGGAAACAATGTTAATAAAATGTTTAAACACATCAGAATTAATACTTTTAACTGTACAAATAATTAATTAAAATTCAATGATGATAATGGGGCCGCTTGTAAATTCTAAGATAAGATAGCTTGATTCTGCATTCTTCCGTCTTTATCAACGTGATGCGATGATTAGAATGATTCCTCATCGCATTACACACGTAGGGTAATGATCAATTAAATAAATATGATTTCTAACATGTATTTTATAGCACTAAATAATTTATTATCGCTTAAAAAATTTATTGCGCATTTTATGTCGACATGTATAAAAATCGACCCATTTAATATGTTGTTATTAATTTTGCTTAGTATTGTACCATTTATCTTCTACTCTTTATCGCTTGTTTTTATCTACGAGATAACGGAAATTATTTAAATATTCTTTTTTATATCTAATTAATGATCCACCTAGCTTTAGACTATGAAGCAGACGTAGAATGACATGTGTATGATCATATTTTACTATTTAATCAAAAAGTATGTACCGAAATACGCGTTTAATTTTAGAAGTTTGAGAAAAGTTTATTTGAAAATATCGGTGAGTGTAAGACATCAATATATTTGAAATTAAAGCATTCCAATCAATGTGAAGCTAACAATAATCTGGAATTTTTATTTCAATTAAAGGTTTTTTGTATGCTCTGTTTTCTTGTGTATGTTTGAATGCCTCAAGAGCGTTTTCACACGGTGCAATACAGGGTGTTAATTAATTGAGTGCCAATACTTCAGGATGTGAATATGTAGGTGATTTTAAGAAAAAAAGTTTATACCCTAAGAGTTCTGGACATATTATGTCTTGTGTCCTAGACTTCTTAGTTTTCGAGCTATAGGGTGTTAAAGTTTTAGAAAAAAAAAACTTTTCTGTCGTAATTTTCTTATTACTCCAAATATTTTTATGAAATTTCGGACGTGGACGTGGAATTAATTTTTGTCCCCAAAAATAGTTTTTCTATGTATGGTGAAAGCCTACCAAATTTCAACAAAACATCATAAGCAGTCTCAAAATGAACCCGCGGGAAAAATTGTTTTGGTTTTTATTTTTTACGCGAAAATGGTGCGTCGTACGAAAGTAAGTCTTCGAACCGAATTTGCTCCAAAATAAAGGAGAATTTTAAAAATAATTTTGGTTTTTAGAAAAAGCAGTGGGGTACCATTTTTTCTTTCAAACAATTTTAGTTCAAACCCCGTACGGGCGTCACTGGTGAACATTTTTAAAAAACTTTTTCCTTCAATAAATGCTCCTTAATAATTAAAAAGTGTGTAAAAAAATTTCATAAAAATATCTGTAGTAATAAGAAAATTATGATGGAAAAGTTATTTCTTTCTAAAATTGTAACACCCGGTAGCTCGGAAACTAATGGCGTTTTCCATTGTTAAAATAGTGCGCACTGAAAGGCCAGTAAAAGCAAAATTTTTGTTTCATTTGGTGGACTGTGCAAGTGTTTGGAGTTCCATTGGCAATCAGGCCACCAAAAAACACTTTTGGAATATTTGGAAAAAGTGCTGCATATTTCAAGCCTACATGGGCTCAAATGGTCCAAGTATGCACGCTATATCTATTAGTAAACTAGAAAAGCTCATTTTGACCAATGTGGACTTGAAATTTAGAAAATACGCAGCACTTTTCCTGATCGATACCAGTAAATGCAATTTCGCACTTGGGTCACGCAATTATTAATAACACTCGTATAAAAACTGCAATGCAATATTGCAGCGTGCGAAAACGCTCAAACGTTATAAAATAACAGAAAACTATAACATCTAATGCAATCCTTTGATCATTTCAGACATCCGGTATCGGTCAGCCGAGCCTCTACCATGCCCTGGTGGTTATTTTCCTGGAGTTTTTCGCGTGGGGTCTCCTGACCATGCCCCTCATAACAGTATTAAACGACACATTTCCCGAGCACGCGTTCCTCATGAACGGTCTCATAATGGGCATCAAAGGCATACTGTCCTTTCTGAGCGCCCCTTTGGTGGGCGCCCTATCGGACGTGTGGGGTCGCAAGCTGTTCCTGCTCATAACGGTGTTCTTCACGTGCATCCCCATACCGTTGATGACTATCAATACGTTTTGGTTCTTCGCCATGATCAGTATTTCCGGCGTGTTCGCTGTGACTTTTAGTGTAGTTTTCGCCTACGTCGCGGACGTTACCGACGAGAGGGAACGCTCGATGGCGTACGGTTTAGTGAGCGGCACGTTCGCTGCTAGTATGGTGATCAGTCCCGCTCTCGGCGCTTATTTAATGGAAAGGTGAGCTATATTTTATTCATTGTAAATGAATTTCTTCTACCTATAAAGGGTGATTGAGTCCAATAGGGACACGGTTCTATATTTCTAAGGTCTGCAAAACATAGGTCGAAATAGTGTCCCGTTATTGGAGGATAAAACAGGGTTCCTAAAACGGTCGCTAGGAGGCGATGTTTTAAAGGACCACGGTTTTTTTGCGTACGGATTATACAGATTGTACGAATTCTTCCGCTGCAAGCATTAGAATTAGAATCTCAATCAATACTATAAGATCAATACTATAAGGAACAGAAAATTGTTTATCGGTTGCCGGTCGATATTAGAATTAGTCAATTCGCTTCGCTTCGTCCACTAGCGAATAGCGTGGATAGCGGGCGTGACTATTTCGTATGCTCTCTTTATTCCTTACATAGCAAAAGTTCAATTAGCTATCTCATTATTCTAATTGTATGCTTGCAGCGGATCAGTTCGTACAATCTGTATACAGGGTGTTTCACAACTTATCCGACAAATTTTAACCACATATGCACTGTTAAGAGAGAAGTTAATTTCCCAAAAAAAAATGTAATAAAAGTCTTATAGAAATCGAGATAATAAAATAATAGTTTAACAGTTCAATTACTTATACAAGATGTTCAAAAATGTTGCTGCTCATGATGCTCCCCAATGAAATGATGATGAACCAAATGAATAGGTTCCCGGATCCGATGGCTGATAATTTCTAATAGACATAATGTCTAAGATAATGTCTAATAGACAAAACGAAGCATTTACTTTGAAGTAAAAGGTAGAGGCAAAAAATAAGAGAAAAACGTTCTAAAACCTTATACAATGATTTTAAAGCCATAAAACCTTTTGCTTTAAAGCAACATCAGGGTCCTCGAAGTGAAACCTCTCTACCTTCTCTTCTTTTTACGCTTATACCTTGAACCAATTGCCTCATTTTTTGAAGCAAAAGGTTGTGCTGCTTTTTTGTAAATACGGCCCATTGTCGTAACGGAGACGATTGTCCACTTATTCACCTGTCATAGAGTATAACAAATCGTTAGGAGGACAAATCAGTTGGAGTTGGAACTTCTAAGGTTCACACACTTATTTTTTTCGATTTCCTTAATAAAAAACACCCTGTACATCCAATTAAATGTCAACGTATCCCATAGTAACGGGAATGACAATTTTGACAGGTCGACGTTTGTTCTTCGCCGCTGTCATCTTTGTAAGTTTTTTAAAAATTTGATTATTTCTCAGATTTTAGTAAACAAAAATGACCAAAAATCATATAATTTTGCGAATTATTGTAATTTATTTTATTTTTATCCATTAAAAACAACGAATTTGTCTAAATAACGAAAAAATCTCTCATTTCGGTGTAGTTCCGTTTAAACCAAACGAACGGGAAACGTCAATCAAATAATTAATTTAGGTACAAATCTGTCAAAAATTTTACTTTTAAATTTGATTTGCGGCAAAAAACAAATTTACCTTACGTTTTTTTACGTCCCCCTATTTACCCGTATAATATGCCCCAGAAAAGCATTTTTATTTTCTGTCCCCAATCATCATTAAATTCTTAGGCATTTCCTAACTAGGTAATTCCTAAGGTAGGAATTACTTAAATCGAATACTTACCTAAATCGAATTTCACCAACATTAGAAATCCCCTACTAAGAAATACCTAGGTAAAAATTTGATTTCGACAATTTTTTGAATTTGTTGGTAGCATTGCCTAATTTTGACGTGTAAACCGAAGAAGCGGAGATCGTAATTGAATATGTTGAGAGAATAGAAGATATGTTGATGATCCGGGCCATCTTTAAACTATGTTAGTTATTTTTAAATCTGCTGAAGATGTAGTCTGTACATTAATAGAAAAATAACCTTTCCGATTTGTAAAATATTTCTACATCTTCTTCTCCAGGACTGTGGATCTTTACATGTATGTGTACGGTCAATGGTTCCAAAAACTTCCTGTGTTTCAAATTAAAAATCATCTTCAAATCTTTGTAATATTTGTTATGCCGTATTTTAAAATATCGAAAAAAGCAAAAAAAAAAACATCAGTTTCGTCCAGTTTCTAAAAACTCCTCCCATTTTAAATTTTTATCTAAAGAGTCTAAAAACAGCCAAGTCTTAAGTCACATGAAATCACATGAAAAGTATGGTTAAGTATTTCCTAAACATTTCAGGCAAGCCCAATGAGTTGTCCTAACTTTAGGCATTTCCTATTACCTTTAGGTATTACTTAGTGCATGGTGAAACGCGAATTGTACTTAGGAATTCCTAAATCCTGTTTAGGTATTACTTAACTTTAGGAACTGGTTGGTAAAATCGGGCATTAGTTTTTAAATAGAGTACATATCGGTTCTATCTTTATACAGAATGTCCAGAAAATAGATGTCAATAATTGGGGAGCAAATAAGATGTACCTCTAGCATATTTATATGATGTACCCTTATTTTAATGTCATATATACGGTCCCCAATTATTGACATCTATTTTCTAGACATCCTGTATATGTCGCATAAAGAGTAGTATTCTTTATTGTTGTATTATTTGGAACTTACTTGGTTGTTTTTTTTATAGATGGTCAGTCTCGTTGGTGGTCGCTTTGGCGACGGCCGTCGCCAGTTTGGACGTGTTCTTTATATTGGTGGCGGTGCCGGAGAGTCTACCGGAGAAAGTGAGAGCGTCTCCCATCAGTTGGGAGCAGGCCGATCCGTTTTCGGCGCTGAGAAACGTCGGTCAGGATCCCACCATTTTGCTGCTGTGCATCGCGGTGTTCTTGTCGTATTTGCCGGAAGCGGGACAGTACAGTTGCATATTCATGTATCTGAAATTGGTGATGGGCTGGAGCGATCCCATGGTGGCCGTGTTCGTAGGTTTAGTCGGTTTGATGGCTGTCATAGCACAACTTAATTTAGGTGATAAAATGTTATTATATTGTTAATAGCGATATTTGGGGAGAGTACGATTTCCGTGGCCTCGTCATTCGACGATTATTATTAGCTTTATTGAGGCAAAATAAAGCGAACATTAAGAATAATTTTTTTGTTTATCTCACTTCGTTTTCGAGATATTTGAAGGTAGTACCAAAAGTTACCTCAAGATTCGCTTAGTGTAGTTTAGAGTAGGGTAGGGTTTTTTGAACAATTTATAAACAATAAGTAAAGGGTGTTTCTATAAGAGCGCAAGATTTTAAGGTTCAATAAAACAATGTTATATGTAGCAAAATATGAAAATATTTATAAATTTATCATGTGTACATTTAGGAATTACATGTATATGAAACAAAATATCTTGTAAATGGCCGCCACGGCTTTGCTGGCACAAGCGTACTCTTTTGATAAAATTTTCAATAGTATTATTGTAAACATGTGGTGGTATTTTATTGATACAGCCTCTAATTTCGGCTTTCAACGCTTCGGTGGTCGCGGGCATGTTGGCATAAACCTGTGACTACAAGTAACCCCACAGGCAGAAGTCCAAAGGTGTTAAATCACAAAAACGTGGCGTCCAATTCTGGTCACCAAACCGGGAAATGACCTGACCGGGAGTAATGTTTAACAATTAAGACGCGATTATGTTCCATATCCAGATCCAATGCTCCATATTTACTCCCAACTGTCAACTTTCGATCTGTCATGTTATAATCACGTGTTATTAGGACTGTCAAACATGACAGGCAATTCAAATCTTGCGGTCTTATTGAAACACCCTTTATTTATCAATATACCTATCATAATTTTCTTATTACTCCAGATTTTTTTATGAAATATCGGACGTGGGCGTCACTGGTAATAGTAGAAAATTAAATTTGGTTAAAAAAAAGAAAAAAGTGTTTCCATGCATTGTGAGCGCCTAACAAACTTAAACAAAGTATCAAAAACAATCACAATGAACTTGGGAAAAAATTGTTTCGGTTTTTATTTTATTTTTTTATGTCTTTGGACCGAATTTGTTCCAAAATAAATGAGGATTTTAACCCTCCAATAGTCGCGCCCGGTCTGTAGGACCGACTACAAACGTTGCTTACCAAAAATTTTAAAAATCAAACTAGACAAAATAGCAATAAGTACTGCATTTGGCTTTTTTGTCATTTTATTAGTCATTGTTGCTTAAACAACCTCCAAACATATTCAGTTCAAACCCCGTACGGACATCACTGGTTTTTTTTTTAAATCGTTTGCCTCAAACAATACTCTTTAATAATTAAAAAGTTTGTACATAATTTCATAAAAATATCTCGAGTAATAAGAAAATTATGATAGATGTTATTTTTTTCTAAAACTGTAACACCCTGTAGCTCGAAAACTAAGAGGTTTATGACTATGACATATGTTGATATAAACTTTTCTTCTTAAAATCATCCAAATATTTACATCCTGATGTATCGGCACTCAATTAATTGAGTCACCATGTAAAGCAAAAAAAAATCAACTTCAAGTATCGATATCTCGAAAACGAAGCGAGATAACAAATAAATGTATTCTTCGTTTTCGCTTCATTCTGGTACAATGAAGCTAAAAAAAAATCGTCAAATCACAGCCTCAGTGAAATCGTACTGTAGTTCGATATTCTATTAGTGTCGTACCATTAGTTTGTTAATTTTAATTTAATTCTTTTAGGTCTTTTAATAAAAAATCTCGGCTCAAAGCACACCATAATGTTGGGATTGGTGTTCGAAATGCTTCAATTATTATGGTACGGTTTCGGTACCACCACGTGGATGATGTGGGGCGCCGGTGTTTTGGCTTCTATGAGTTCAATAACGTATCCTGCCATATCAGCGTTCGTCTCCGTACACAGTACACCCGATCGACAGGGGGTTGTTCAAGGTAATATGCGCGCGCACCTTTACTGTATCTACTAGAGTATGTCGAAAACACGGTCCTATATTTCTAAGGTCTGGAAATAGCATTAAGAAAGGTTATTTTCAAAATAAAAATAAATTCAAAATATAAAAATATACTTAAATCAGCGATGATTTTGTTAACATCATGCCTCATACATTCTCTAATGCATATGCATAAGCAGTTTCCAGACCTTAGAAATATAGGGCCGTGGTTGAAAAGTTCTCGATCTGACTATGAAAGACCACCATTTTCGGTTGAAAAATGATATTATTCTCGTTGTTAAGTCGAAATCTTTTGTTGAAGATAGTTCTAAATGATTCTGGAGCGTTTTTAAATGAATTCATGTAGTTTTGAATGCTTCTGGGACGTTCTAGATTGTTCTAGACAGTTCTAACTGAATCTAAGAACTAATGGTTCTAGACAGTTTTAACTGAATCTAGAACAAATGGTTCTAGACAGTTCTAAATAATTCTAGAGCGTTCTAAATGGTTTTAGACAGTTGTAAATTAATCTGGAGCGTTCTAAATTGTTTTAATTAGCTCTGAATGATTCTGGAGTAGTCTGAATTATTCTGGAGTGTTGTGAACGGTTCTGGAGAGTTTTAGATGGTTTTAGACAGTTCTAGAAATAATTATAAATGTACCAAAGACAAAACAAGAATTTTTTTTTCTGATTGGAACGCTCTGAGTATATCTGGCCGAGAACTTTTCACCCTATCCTCGTACATATTTTCTTTAGCATCGCCATTCTTACATTTCATTGCTTTTATTCTAGCCATGTTAGCGTCGCTTCTTGTTACAGCAATTTTTTATACAGGGTGTCTCTTATATATAGGGACATGGTTTAACTACAAACTTCTGGAACGAAAATAAGTGTATAGGTCTAAATTTGATTCAAAAATTAGTTAAATAACATGGGCGGAAGAATTAGGGAATTAAGGGCGGTCGGATCCCCTAGTTAAAGCTGAAACGGTATAAAATATTAAAAAAAAATTCACAATAATAGGTCACTAAACAAAGATATTTAAATAAACATTTTTTTTCTAAATGAATCTAGAGCGTTCTTAATAGTTCTCGATAGTTCTAAATATATCTAGAGCGTTCTAAATAGTTCTAGACAGTTCTAAATAAATCTAGAGCGGTCTGAACAATTCTAGACAGTTCTTAATGAATCTAGAGCGTTCTAAATAGTTCTAGACAGTTCTAAATGAATCTAGAGCGTTCTAAATAGTTCTGGATAGTGACCTTCAGCGACACCCTGTATATTTGGTATATTTTTTTTAGGTATGATATTTTGCCACATAATTGTACCACACTACACCCCTCGAAAAGGAAGTAAATTCCTATAACGGGGTTCACTAGAATAAAACAACGCCCACATTTACGTTGATATCTTATAAATAAAGGATTTTTAAATTTGAATTTGATTTTAGGTATGGTAACCGGTATGAGAGGTCTGTGTAACGGTCTAGGACCGGCGATGTTCGGCGTTGTATTTTACATGTTTCACGTCGATCTGAACGCTAATAATGTAAATCAAGAGGCTACGCATGCCACATCGACCTTCGAAACATACTCACAGGTAAACAAAATACCTACAGGGTGACAAAAAAAAATATTCTTTATGTTGAAATTAACAACTTATTTAATTCCTTTTTAGCTTGTGCCTGGTCCACCGTTCGTATTTGGTGCTTTCCTAGTCATTTGCGCTTTATTCGTGGCTTCTTTTATTCCTACAAAGGCACACGTTGATTCAGGTAAAGGTTATAATTTATAATGTTCGATTTTACATCCGTAAGAGAACGCTACATCTTTTGCGCTCCTACGTAATCAAAAATTTTGAGCGATTTCAAGCGCGCTGTTGCCAAATGCTGAATGTTTACATTCTTCATAACTATCGAGTTTTCGGTTATATTTTTGTATCAACTTGGTTTATTTCAACTTTTTTCTAACTTCTGCAGTTTCCGAAATCACTGTACTAATAAAAATCGAAGGAAACTCACCCTGTATTATTCAAAACGTGTTGGGTACTTTTACCGGTGTAAAGTCGAACATTACCCAGGTAAATTAATGATACAGTTGATGTCAAACGAATATCAATGCACGTCACCTAAAATTTACTACGTCACAAGTAGGCAGTGTTGCCAAACTTTTATGCCCGATTTCACCAACATGTTCGTAGGCTTTTCTTTCGAAATCGAATACTTACCTAAATCGAATTTCACCAACATTAGAAATCCCTTACTAAGAAATACCTTAGGTAAAAATTTGATTTCGACCATTTTTTAAATGTTATTGGTAGCATTGCCTAATTTTGACGTGTAAACCGAATAAGTGGAGATCGTAATTGAATATGTTGAGAGAGAAGAAGAGATTTTGAGGATCCGGGCCATCTTTAAACTATGTTAGTTATTTTTAAATCTGCTAAAGATGTAGTCTGTAAATTAATAGAAAAATAGTCTTTCCGATTTGTAAAATATTTCTACATCTTCTCCTCCAGGACAATGGATCTTTACAGGCATGTGTACGGTCAATAGTTCCAAGAACTTCCTGTGTTTCAAATTAAAAATCATCTTCAATTCTTTGTAATATTTGTAATACCGTATTTTTGTAAATCGAAAAACACGAAAAAAAAATCAGTTTCGTCCAATTTCTAAAAACTCTCCTCCTATTTTAAATTTTCATCTAAAGAGTCTAAAAACAGCCAAGTCTTAAGTCACATGAAATCACATGAAAAGTATGATTAAGTATTTCCTAAATGTTTCAGGCAAGCCCAGTGAGTTGTCCTAACTTTAGGCATTTCCTATTACCTTTAGGTATTACTTAGTGCATGGTGAAACGTAATTTGTAGTTAGGAATTCCTAAATCCGGTTTAGGCATTACCTGACTACCTGACGACCCTACCAGGAACTGGTTGGTGAAATCGGGCATTATAGAATTTGCAAAATCTAAGAATTTTCAAGTTGCTTGCAAATTTGGCCTCAGTTGCCAGGGCTATTCGGCAAGTGCTTGGCAAGTATGACGACAGTAGTGACGTGCATTGATATTTCTTTCGCACCAACTGATGTACTTCGATTGGTTTAGTGTTTAAATTTCTTTTTTAAATCAAAAACTTTTCGCATTCAGGTATTCCTCTCGATACTCACTATGAAATGGAACGTGGACAAAAAGTGGCAGGGACGCTCAGTCCTCTGATACCGAACAGAAGCATAGACGCAGCAATTTTATAAATGTTAAGATGTGTATCTTTTTAGTGCAAAAATTAAAATGAAATAATAGTAATAAAATGACATTTTAAAGAAGGAAACGACGCTCGCCTAAAATTGCAGAGATCCTAGATCGATATATTTATTATATTTTGATTATTTGTAAATAGAAACGTACGCGGGTGATAATTAAATTATCTCGAAAGATGTTTAGACGAGCGCCATTTGTCTCGTCTTATTACTTGTTAAATACGTGGTTGTTGAAGATGGATGTATTTTTATCTTATTTGATGTACCGGGTGTTTTGTTTAGGACCTCTAAATACGCTTAATTTATTCTTGTCGTTTAAGTGTTTATTTCCGAAAATTTAGTAAATCTTTGTTTCTCGTAAAATACGAATTTATTACGTAACATAATTATTAATAGAATTAACTATTTGAGGTAAATTGTTCATTAGTTTTAGTGTACTACAAATTGATCTCTGAGCGTGTTCTTTTTTATTGTTCATTGATCAAACAGCACAAGAATTGACATATTTCTATCGACATATCTTGAGCAAAGACCATTTCTAAAATTTTCGAATGTATTTTTTGATAAAATCGCAGTTTTTAGTAATTGAGCAAATTTTATATTGTCCAAACACTTGCTAAATTTTGTGTTGAATAAATATATCTAAATAAGACTTGTGTTGTATTTGTTTGGGACCTCTAGATAGATATTTCAATTCGATAATGGTCCCTAGTACTTTTTAGGCAATTAGAGCTGCCTTGAATTAGATAAGCTGTTTTTAAATTTTAATCTATTATAATTCTTCCGAATACTACAAAGGTATAAGAAGACGCAAAATGTTTTGCAAAATACTTTTTTTAAGATAAAACAAAAAATTACGAATTTTCGGAAATTTATTCGATAAATAGTCAATTTCAAAGATGATTGGGTTCATTCTGCACATTTAGTATGCACATCTTCGTTTATGTCGTGCATATACAGAGTGTCCCAATGAAAAGGAGCCCGTTTAATTGGCTTACAACTTTTAAACGATTAAACATAAAAACATACGTTTTTCGCAGATGTGTTTTATTTTGTTATAAGTCTTATTATAGTCAGACAGACATTTTGTATCACTTGTACAGGGTGTATTATCAAAATTCCCTCTTTTCAATTTATTGACATTAATGACATTTTATGAAAAGGGACCTCCATTTTCTCCTTGAAATGTCAAAAGTTTTGACAGCTTGAACTGTCGTCTCACAACCGCGATTTATATGTAGCGCGACGCTGATTGGCTGAGATAAGTCAAAGCTCAAAAGTCTTCAAATAACGGGACTCATTCTCTAATGCATAGGCATAGGCTGTTTCCAGACCTTAGAAATATAGGGCTTATATCACGGATATACAGGGGTCGGCATAAGTCAGTTAATCTGCATAAAACCTGCAGAAGCGTAAAATAAGCGGTGTCATTCGTAGCGGTCGTAATTCAGGAAGGTGGTCTGCACTTTGATCACAAAATGAAATTTTTAAATTACTTTTGTATACAAATAATTAAAGCAATAAACTATTTTTGAGTACAGTCCTTTTTATTTTTGTTTGGTATGCAAATTGGTTAACTGACTTATGCCGACCCCTGTATATGCAATACGGCCATGGCTTCTACAAATAATACATTTTTGAAAAGTGGAAGAATACCTCTTTCAAAATACCTTTATATATAGGGCGTCTTTCATTAAAAAAATGGTTACAGTGAATTTAAAAGAGATTTTGATAAAACACCCTGTACTATTAATACATAATTTCATTGTAACTGCGACAAAACTTCTAACAAAATAAAATGGCCCGTATTCAGCGCCTCACTTTAACTTAAAGTCACGCTAAAATTGAACAGAGGCGTTGAATACGGGCCAGTATCTCTGAGAAAAACGTAGGTTTTTATGATTAATCGTTTAAAAGTTAGTCGATAAATGGGCTACTTTCCATTGGGACACCCTGTATAAAATATTTCTTTTTTCACATATTCACAAGTATGCAAGATGAACAAATTTTTAAATGAACTAAAAGTGCGTTCTTATAAGTATTGTTTGGTGCTAGCAACTTGTGAAATTTCTAGAAAGTTATTTGAAAACGTATTTTAGCTGCTTTTAAGTAAAGCGTAATAATTGTTAACTTATCTAGATAGTATACTGAATGCACTAAGGACCTATTTAGTAATTGATTCATCGTGTATACTTGTTTTGTACTTGTCACACTAAGAAAAATAATAAATTGTTTTATCCATATTAGTCGATTTTATGCGCTATAGAAACGAATCGGATAATGTAAAGTAGGAGTAAAATTCTCTAAATATTTTCTATGTGTACAGTTAGTTTATAAGAAGAAAAAAAAACGTTTTAAATTATTTTGTTTTCGTAATGGGACTCGACGTTTTTTTTGTATACGGAAGTAATTAGGTTGTTACTTAATATACAGGGTGCTCCTAAACATCGTGTAAATTCAGAAGGGGATAATATCCAATACTGTATGCCCTATAAAACAATCTAGATTCCAAATTTGAGCTAAATATCTCAAAAATTGCAAGAGCTCTAAAGAAATAAAAATGAAAACACCCTGTAGTTCGGTAACGAAGCATTTACGAAGTTTATACGAACTTTTAAGTCATGAAATATGCCAAAGAATTACCCCCTTCTGAATTTACATGATGTTTATGAACGCCCTGTATAATTTAAATTTTTGCCACGAAATGTGTAAATATAACTATTTTTCAAAAAATAAAACAAAAGGAAAGAACGAGGCTTGTAGTCCTATCGCTATTTAGAAGCCAACCTGTTGTAACTTATATGAAATTTCCTTTTTTATTTCGCTCCTATGTTTTCTATGCCGACCTTTTGCAGATGAATAGCAACTGAAAGTATTTTTAGATATTAGAGAATTACATATTTAAGATTCGATAAAATTAAATGATTGTTTTAAACTTTCACTGGTTTCATTCAGATAACTTACCTTAATTTAACTGGGTAATGTTGTATTTTACAACCGTACTTTGCGCAACACCTTCTGGCTAAAAACTTCACCTAAAAAAGGCTTATTTGGAGATAATAACCTCACATTTTATTCTTTGTTTTGTTTTTGTCAATATTTGTAAATTTGTCGAATAATGATGGAAATCGAAGACGAAATTATGCTGGAAGACGATAATGATATCTTAGAAATTATCGATTTTGGATTTCCTCGAAGAATTTTTAGGAGGCCCAACTATTTTGAGGAAATGGACGATAGAGGCTTCTATAGAAGGTTCAGATTCACCAAACCGACGAAACTATATGTTCTAGAGCTCATAGAAGATGCTTTTGGAATTCCAAAACGATTTGTACTCACAAGTAGAATCTTATTAATAGGTGGTTAGTTGGATCTTACTTTGCAATATAGTGCGCTATGAATTAATTGTTCAAAAAAATTAGGTATATACCTATTTAAAAACCAATAAATTATGTTCATTAGGAATAAATTAACCTTCTTTTAGAAATATTAGCATAACACCTATAAATTAATTGCTGACCGCCCTTATATTCTATGCCAGTGATGGCCATCAAATCAACATAGGTGTCATTTAGGGTCATCAAAAAAGTTTCAGAAGCCATTGCTAGTAAAAGAAATATATTTATTAAAATGCCGGCAACACATATTGAAAAAATATCTTTACAGACTAATTTTAATCAAGTAGCTGGGTTTCCGCGTGTAACTGGCTGCGTTGATGGCATCCATGTGAAAATTTCACAATAATGTAACAACTACTTTCAAATTTCAAATTCAAAACATTGACACTTTTCACTGGTCACACAAAATATTTAATTTCCCTAAAAAATACAACTTTGCCAAGTTAATTTAACGCTTGGCTAAGCCCCGCTTATTATTTTGCGGTACAAAACGCAAACATTTAAGCTTGCCTTTATTTTTAAGCGGGCTTAAGCAAGCTTCGCTTAAAGCAGGACGCGCACTGAATCGACTCGGAACGGTCGGATCGGAACAGAGCGTTCGGAAGAGTTTGGTACATATGAAAATAAATGCAGTACCGCGCACTCAATCGGAACGATCGGATCGGAACGGTCGGATCGGATCGGAATCGTCAGAGTATTCTCGAAGGGGCAACTTTTCCGAACGTTCCGAAGGTCTATCTTTTTTTATGTACTGCTATCTTTGTCGATACTAAATTTATTTCAGGATGGATATATCAAAAATATATTCCTAAACTGTCATTATTTACTTTATGATATTTTACGATGAAGATTTTGGCAATACAGCGATTAAGAAATATGGGATGGAAATAAATCTTTCATGCACCTATTGTGTTGGTCATCAGGCCGTATAATGTTACTACTACTACTACTACTACTACTTCAGGCGAACCTTGGCCGAGACAGCTCAAGCCAAGGCTCAGGCACTGAGGCCTCTAGCGGGCCCATTGTGCCATTCCTGCTGCTTATGCATCCATGAAGCCGAGTCCCTCGATGAAGGCCTCAGTCCTTTTCAATGGATGCCTATTTGTGTCTCCAGGGGCCATAACAGGGACCCCAAAGGTTCGCCTGCGTAGCACAGCCCACTTCTGACACTCCAGAAGAACATGGTCCGATGTTTCATCAGCCATGCCACAGCCCCTGCAAAGGGGACTTTCCTCTAAACCTAGGTTATAGAGGTGTTTTCTCAGACAACAGTGCCCCGTTAGGAGTCCTGCTATCTTTTTTAACCTACTCCTTGATAGTTCCACAGCTGCCCTAGCATGTCCATCAGTCCAGCCCCTAAGAAGGAGCTTGGATTGCCTAAGACCATGCAGAGCACTCCAATAAGCGAGATGCTGATTTCTCAGCCAAACTCCCGCCTCTTTACGAATCATTTGTTTTGTAAGGCCCAGGGTCGGGCCCGGGCCACTGAAAGGAGTCCGTATAATGTTAATAAATAAATTAACAATGGGCGACAAGTGTCCAGCATGTACCAAGATATTGAATTATATGATTTTAAAAAATTGAAAGATATTGAACGCAAACTATAATAAATGTTGAGCCTACATATGGTGCACGAAACTTTTTTAACAGATACAACAATGAACTTGATATTCTTAGAATATTTTTGGAAAAGGAATTTTACTATGAGTCTTTATAAATCTATCAATAAAAAGAAAGTTTTGTTAATATACTTGGAAGGAAGCAATTTAAATTCTCAATAAAAACGTTTTTTATAATGACTTGTCAACCATTCCCGTAAATATTTTTAATGTTGGATTTCAAAAAGTTAGTATCTGTCAGGACCTCTTCAAGTACTGTACTATTTGTCATTACATCATGTCGGATGAATTGTTGATTGAGGTTGTGCGAGAGTATGTGATATTGTACGATCCGCAGAATAGGTATTATCACGATAACACGCGGAAGGAGAACGCTTGGACTGAAATCGCAAGAAAAACGGGACGTTCAGGTAAGAAATAAATGTTAACATGTAATCAGTAGGTAGATATAGCATTTTTATTTTTTATATGGCATAACATTTTTTAATATCAACATTTTCTTTAAACAGTATTTTTTTCTAATGTACTGCATGTATCCTTTCATGTTGCCACGCCACACTTCCTTCGTTGGATTCAAAATAATTTTTAAATCGTTCTCTAACGGTAAAGGCCTCTCGTTGAAAATTGCCGCCAATGTGAACTAAGTTGCCAATACCTTTTGGTTCCTCCTGAGATTCAATCTCCCCCGGTTGCCAGGAACATTTATCATTCCTAAGATAATTGTGCAACACAGTACAGCTTAAAGTTATGATGTCTAAGTGATCTGGTGAAATATTAAACTTTTTAAAAAAAATTCGAAATTTTTTTGCCATAATTCCAAAACCATTTTCACTAACACGTCTGGCTCTACAGTGTCGATAATTGTAAATTCTGTTTCCTGCATTATTCATTGTCTGATTTCCAGGGTATGGCCTCATTAAATTGGGCAGCAATGGGAATGCTTCGTCTCCGACAATTACATGTGGTAAAATAACAGGTGTCTCAGGTAATGCTTTATCTGCTGGCAAACATAATTCGTTGTTAAGCAGTTTCTTCCCCAGCTGAGACGAACGAAATATTCCGCCATCACTGTTGCGTCCAAATGCACCTACATCCACTGCTATAAATCTGTAGTCTGCATCAAACAGAGCAAGTAATACAACGCTAAATTCTTTTTTATAATTGTAAAAAAGGGACCCTGAATTAGGAGGTTTTTCAAAAACAACATGTTTTCCGTCAATTGCCCCAATGCAATTAGGGTAGTTCCATTTTGTGTTAAATCCTTCTTCAACCTTTTTCCAATGTTCCATCGTCGGGGTGGGCATTACCAATGGTGCTAATATATCCCATATAAGTTGACATGTCGCATAAATAATTTCTCGGACTGTTGTTTCTCCAAGTCTATAGCTAAAACTGATTGTGGAGAACGAATCGCCATATCCAAGAAATCTACAATTAAAAAAGCATAATTATTTTATCGGTTTTCTAAATTAGTTTCAGATTGCAAAAAAAAATGGACATCGCTCAGAGATTGTTTCCGTAAAGCAGTTCGAAGTAGAAAAACTGTTAGTGGGCAGGCAAAAACAACCTACAAAAAATGGAAGTTTGAGGAAGCAATGTCTTTCATGGTCCCTTTCTATTCA